GTTGTGATGTTGGTCAATCGGTAGTAATTGTCATCCCTTGACTCGTGGAATTATTCATATCTTGTTTTGCAATTTTTGTAAAATAAAAGTTTAAATTTTACGAATATCTAGAGTTCAACAACCAATTTTTAGTTAATAATTTTTACATTAGCTAACGGCACAAGCGTTCAGATACATACAAATTTTAATATGTTATAAAATTCTGCACCTTTCTCATGGCAAATTATTCCGCTCCAGCCTGGCAAACAAACTGAGGATGCACAATAATTCTTGGTGCTCTCTTCCTCGTCATTCAGGCAGAATTGGTATATTGTTGAAGGGGTGTACTTATTTTTATCCAGAGAAACTGTTGCAGTAGAAATTTGCATCGATCAAATATTTTATTCTTTAGTGACTTGAAATAAATTGTCTAGATTATTTACATTTTGGCTTGGACTGGTAACTAAAACTTTTGATTAGCATAGTTTTATTGAGATTAACATGATTAACATAAATTTATAAGTTTCAATTCGCGTTGAAATTTAATTGAAAGTTTCTAAAACAAATAAAAACAACTGCCAATATTAACCGTCGTATAGTAAACTATAATTTTTTGGATCATTATCACATTTACGAAGTTGTGCCTGCATGAAGAGTTCAACTCTATTCGTACAATAGCATTTTTTCTATAAATTAATTAACATTCAAATGAAAATCGTTAATTCTGAATTTGCCGGAAGATAATAAAATTTCCAATTTTATATATTTTTCTCAAAATAGCGGTGTGATGGGGGAATGTTTAATGTGCCTGGACCTGCTGTTGCACTGACCGGAATCGAATACAAGAAGAACCTCCAGTTTATGTTCAGCTGGCATATGCTGATTCTGATATCAATTCTGAAATTTGGTCTGAACTGAATAGTCAGTGCCGGATCGTGTGTTGGGCCCTTACAACATGCAATGTGTTGAAGCATGAAGTCAAGCGTCTTTGGATGCACCGTGTTTTTGTTGTAAGCACTAATAAATATATTCTTTAATTTTATTATTTTAAATATATCTTGAATTAAAATCAACTAAATATGACACAAAGTAAAAAAAATTTGCTAACTAACTTTTGACACGAAGCAATATTTACACATATTTTTGAAGCATGTTTCTTGGCACATTAATACGGATAGATGAATCTGGACCTTATGTAGCAAAGAAAACGAGATAACATTGAAACAACCGACCAGAACAACTTGGTTTACTATAAATTTTTACGTGATTTATATAATTATATATATATATATATATATATATAATTATATAAATCTCTATATATATATATATATGCCCATCTTGCGACCGAATGGGTTCGTAAACAACGCGATGTTGTTCTTACCTATTGGTCGCGACACCTCAATTTGAGTTTCTTGGTTACAATAATTGAGTTGTGTTATCTTAA